CCAACAACTGGTTCTCTGAACTGCTTAGAAAGTTAACAACCGGTTCTCCCGAATAGGTGCGGACTGATTGAATCCCACCAATGGATAGGATAGAACAGAATAGAGTGAATACTTAGAATAAGTTCTAAATTCTGACTCAGGTGATTTCTGTAAAATCCACGAAGTAGGGAAATATGCTCACCAGACTAATTAAGAGAGGAAGTTGATGAAACTTAAAAAAAAAAAAGAATTTCTGGTTCCCTCACCTCAAATCTCTTTTCCTTCAGCTCCAAGTTCACCAACAAATGACAAGATCCAAACGATCGTCACACTCCATGCAACTCCCGAAGGTCCACTGAAGAACCTACAAGTGACCGAACTCTCTCCAAACCAGCTCCGTGTGACATGGTCAGCCCCACCCAATTTCTTCCATAAGTTTTTCCTCTACTATAGGGATCCCAGATCTGGGGCACCTCCCAAAAAAATCAGCATTCCAGGGACAGAGAGAAGTGTCGACTTAACGGATTTGCACCCTGGGACGGAGTATGAAATGGAGTTGCATGGAGAGAGACCTGGTGGAAGCTACAGCACCCCCTTCTCAACAAAAATAATTACAGGTACCTTCACTATATTCCTTGAATTTGTCAAGTTCTAACTGGGCATCTTGATTTTTGTTCTATTCCAGATGTCTTTTTTTCCAGCAAAGAAGATGATAGAATGTACATATATTTCTGATGTGATGAAGGACATTGGCTGACCCACTGACCATAGTGTTTCATCTCTGTCCTGATGTGCTCTGTGTCATTGCTCATGATTCTGACTCCCACTTAGAACATAGAACAGTGATGGCAAACTGTTCGAATCTGCTTCTAGCTCTGCTGGACGCTGACGGGCTACAACAGGTGGACAAAGCCAAATCAATCAAGTGTCAATCAATCAATCAGTCAGTCAGTCAGTCAATCAATCAGAATAGAGCTGGAAGGGACCTTGGAAGTCTTCTAGTCCAGCCCCCTGTTCAAGCAGGAGACCCATTTCAGATAGGTGGCTGTTCAGTCTTTTCTTAAAAACCCTGAGTGTTTTTAAGTATTTCTCAACCTTAGCAACTTTAAGATGTGTGGATTTCAATTCCCAACGTTCAGATATGGGTAGTCCAGTGGTGGGATTCAGCCAGTTCGCATCTATTTGGGAGAACCGGTTGTTAATTTTCTAAGCAGTTCGGAGAACTGGTTGTTGGAAGAAATCTCCTTTTGGTCCCCGTTCCCGCCCCCCCCCCCATTACAGGGCTAATCCTGTAAGGAAGGGCAGGAAGGAAACATTCTGGTGTTGCTTCTAGCCTAATATTTATTGCCCTGCTTACAGAAACTGGCTCTCCGGTTAAGCCTTATTACATTGCAACAGCTAAGGCAATGCACCCATCGACGTAAGTGACGTTGAGTTGACCACGCCCACCCAGTCACATGACCACCAAGTCCTGCCTACTCAACTGGTGATTAGGGCACACAATCGGTTGTTAAATTATTTGAATCCCAGCACTGGGGTAGTCCTTTCTTATCAACTGCCTTGTTTAGCAACTGTTCAAAATAGCAAGAGTCTTTTTTTAAAAAAAAAATAAATAGCTTTGCAATCAGTTTTGAGAGATGAAGTTCACCAATCTAAAGTTGCCAAGACTGAGAAACCCTGAAATATTGTAACTGAAATGGGTTTCCAAAGAAATCAAGTTGCTCTATTTGCAGGATTCAGACTGTGGATAATATTGCTGAAGTAGTCCAAACAAAACACCTGTCAGCGTTCCAAGTATCATGTAGAATTAAATCAGAGTCCAAGGCAAAATGATCCTTAAAGTTCCAATTTAATAAATCAGGCATCTTAGCACATCTGTGGAATCCAATTCTGGA